GCGGCTGGCGCAGGTGCGGAGGCTGGCTTGTTTTGTTGGCTGCGGCTTGGTGCAAAGAAAAGCAGCGCAAGACAGAGGAAAAAGTACAGCGCGAAGGAGGGTGTTTTGTGCAGAAGTTCTATGCAGAGGCAGAGGCTTGGACGGCGTGCAAAAGAAGAGAAAAATTGCAGAAAGTACAAGGCTTCGTGCAGAAGAAAAAAATCCTATTTGGCGGCTGTGCTTTTAAGAGAGATATTTGTGTAAGGGATCTGAGAGTTTGTTTGAGGGTTTAGATTGAGTAATTGTAAACCCTAGTTGTATTCTCTCCCTCTAATAGAAGATCTTCCCCCTCCTTGCCCCGTGGACGTAGGCAATTTGCCGAACCACGTAAAAGTTGTGTTCTTGGCGTGATTTGTAATAGCTTGTAGGATCCCTCGTAGGCAATTTGCCGAACCACGTAAAAGTTGTGTTCTTGGCGTGATTTGTAATAGCTTGTAGGATCCCTCGACAGGTCAGTCCTAGAACTGATGAGAGGAAGAGCCGATATCTCACTTTGTTGAGATATCCGCTTCAGATTCTTGTTTCCTTGGTGAGACAGGAATTCTTACGATCTAATCTCTTGTTGTGCACCTTGCGCATCGGAGGTGCTGCCGAAATTTCCGCTGCATACAACACTCTCCACCACCTGCTATATAGAGAAGTCCCCTCTGTCATGGTCTAATATTATCTGGAGAGGGTTAGCTGTGTGCCGAAACACGCTTTTATTATGTGGATTGTTTTTTGGGGTAGGTTTCTAGCTCAGAGTAGACTTTTGCATCTCAACATAATTCACGAGAGCAAGTGCATCGTCTGTGAGTTGAGTGTCTTGCTTGATTATTTCATAGAGTTTGCTGTATAGCTAGCTAGGTATTCCCAGTTTTTGATTGTACATAACGTTCACATGTTAATGAAAGTCCCATTTACCTAAAAATTTTATTTTTAATTTCAGCAAGTTGGTATGCCATGTAAGTTGCTATTTTTACATTATTTTGCTATATTTTGTTTTAAATGGTTAGCCACGTCTTGTATTTTTTAATCAAAATATGTAGCAGATGGATTTTGCTTGTTGCTCTTCAAAAGTAAGTTACATGCATTAAAATGTCTCTCAAGTCGAAATTTGTTGTTGCTTGTATTTTTTTTTGGGTTTGGGTGTAAGAAACTATCACCCATTTGCTATCCTCGTTATCTGCAGCTGTGGTTTGCCGCCTCTGCTGTTGCAGTCGCTTCTGTACGTCTCTTTAGGCTGCCACGCTGCTGGTCGTCGCTGTTGTCACTCTTTTTTAAATTTAGGGACATCTTTACGGACCAATACGCAAAAATCCTCAATTTATTTACGAGGACCCCATTAACTTGTCATTATAAAAAACACGTTGCCTCCTTGTTTCCTTCTTCGCCCCCCGTTCTCCTCCTCTCTACTACTGTGACCATGAACGGATTCTCTAATGGCGCCGTCTACAAGACTGCAGGCTTCTCTCTCTCTCTCTCTCTCTCTCTCTCTCTCTCTCTCTCTCGCTCTCTCGCTCTCTCGCTCTCTCGTACATACACACACAAAAGATCAATTGCTGATATCTACACATGTTGTTTTTGTGTGATGCAGTTGAGAACAATGGGATGTCAGAGCACAGCATTCCAGTTTATTCATCTTCTGAGGTTAGATTCTGCACTGCTCCATAAAGTTTCAATTGTCGAAAACACTAAGATTTGGGTCAGAGTTCTGGGTTGCATGCGTCTCTCTTTTTCCGTTAATTAATTGTCTTCTGTACAACTTCATTAGATTTATATTTCATAATTTTTTTTTTACAACTGATAATTATAAGGTGTGCAGATCGAGTGTAGCCTGTTTTCAGACTTGGATTATAATTGAAAGAGCTGAGAATAATATGCGAACTTAGATACTCAAAATCATATTGTAATTAATTTCCCAAGAACGATCTGTTGAAATTAAAGATATGCAAGCGATAAGCAGACCTATAGAATTGCATTTTTGAGTAAATCTAACATTAATTACTTTAGGGACTATACGAAGGTATTATATGTCCTAACATACAAAGTGAGGGGTAGAAAAAATTTGCGAATCAATATTAATTTCAGGGATAAATTCACAAATATGGATGATTTGTGGGGTTTATATATATATACAAAAACCCAATCTTTTGTTGTTTAGGAATTAGATACCCTCTCTATTTATTTTCTTTAATTTCACCTTGTTATAAGAGTTATAAAATGTACAAGTTGTTCTTGTAAAAGAAAATTAGATGAAATTTTGTGTCCCATAAAGACTCCATCAGAAGCGGGACAAATTAACATATATAATCTCTCTGAAACTTAGAGGCATACTTGTAAATATTTCAGAAAAAGTCGACACTGTCCTTAATTCCTTGCGACCTATCAGCTGTTGTAACTTTTTTTTTTTGGGTAAAAATCAGTTGTATATTTTGATTAAATCTTGCTATTAACTAGACACAATCTTCAAGCTTCATTTTTTTCCCCTTGATTTTAACCGATACGATGAATACAGTCATCGAGAAGATCATCGGTTTATAAATCCAGGGGAAAGAGCATCCATATAGAGCAATGTATTCTAGCTTGATTGATGGCATAATATTGGATCCCGCTTTGATGGTTATTCCTCTCGATGACCACATGGTTCACAGAGGCCACGGTGTGTTTGATACTGCTATGCTCGTAAATGGGTACGTGGCTTAAACACACTAAACACCTTGATGTCCTTTTCTGACAATTATAAGGGTACTCACTGGGGAAATAAGTACTCCAGATCCGTTCATTTTAATATCTATTCTCGTCTGTTAAGGTCGCAAGTTGAGCTGCTGTTATGCCTCGAGAATCCAAACCAATCGCCAAGAAAAAGATAAACCAACACACCAACAAGCACAAACAATCACTAACACCAGTTTTACGTGGTTCGGCAAGATGCCTACGTCCACGGGGCAAGGAGAGGGGAGTTTTCACTATTAGAAACAAGAGGATACAACTAGGGTTACAAATCTCTCACCAAAAACCCACAACAACTCACTCTTGATCTCACCAATTGCTCCAACAATAGAAGCCCAATAAAACTCTCCCTTCAGATCTCAAACTTCAGCGTCCAAACCCTAGAAACACCCCTTTGGGTATTTATAGGAAACCCAAACGAAACGGTTCTGGAAAACAGATCCAGACTCAACCCGCTTTGGCGGTCGACCGGCCCGGTCGACCGCCCTCCATCCAGAACAGCTCCAAGAATCCAGAGAGTTCGGCGGTCGACCGCGTCGGTCGACCGCTACCATCTTCGGTCGACCGGTCCGGTCGACCGCCACCAATCCTGAAGCACAGTAAGTGACGTGCACGAAAGCGGTCGACCGGACCGGTCGACCGCCACACTGTCAACCTGAATCCTGAGCTAGAAATCCACTTCTGCTGCCAATTCTACATTTCTGTTGACAAACACGTGATATTCTGTAAAATTTTGTAGCTTTTTTATATAGCTAATGATAATGATTAAGCTCCTATTGATAGTATTCTTGTCAACATATCTGATCAAACTGTTAGTAAAATTCCAAAGGCCCTCAATCCATCTTGCGGCTGATAGCATCATCAACGACCCCAAACTGAAGCGATCCGAACACCTCCACCTGAGGTGAAACAATGGCCGTATCCAAAACGTATCCACCAGCTGCATCCAAATCAACCACCTCATCATCTGTCCTCATAAATAAATGACTCCCACGCTGTGCCACCTCAGCTGGAATCTCAACCAATGCAGAATGACCTGGAGTATGTGGAGTAAGCTCCACCCAATGTGGAGTAGCATCAACCTCCATCCGCTGCGATATCCCTCTGACCTGATCAATACTCTCCACCTGCCGAGAGTCCAAAGTGACAAACCTGCTCAGACCAAACTCAGAAGCTCCCCACTGATAGCCGAATGAACTCCTGAATTCCAAATGCGCAATCGGATCCAATCTCACATTCACGATGTGACCAAGTGCTGGGTAGCCAAATATCCGACGCCGACCAAAATCTGAAGCAGCTCCACCAGATCTAATAACTCTATACGCAGCAGTCGGCAACCTCATAAGATGACCCAAACCTGTCGAAGCCTGAATACCAGATCCACTGCTCGACAACCAATGCCGATCCTCCTCCAGAAAAGAACGGCTCACTGAATCCGTCATCTCATCACGTCGCCCCACTGTCTCCTCTCCTATGAAGTGTCTCCAACTGCCATGAGCTCGGCACCAATGCAAGAAAGGACTCCTACTAGAACAAGTACGACTGGTAACCTTTCTGCCCATACACCTCCTCCAACTGTTGCGGACTACTAGGGCTTTATACCAACGGGACTTGGTTGCAACCCATATATGCCTAGTACAATCCCCAACATAAGAAACAAGATAATGATTACCTCCCGATGATGCCTCTTCGGAAAGCCCCCCAATGCCTGACTGAGCACCTCCAATAAGACCCCTCGATCGATGGATAGAAGTGCTGAATTCCATCTCGGTCTTCTCGCTCATACCAATGTGCTCACAAGACTTCAATCTGTAGGTCATAGCACTCCTCAACAATCTGTGCACGGCATAACCAATAATATATCCCAGCATCAAACAATGCCACAGTCTAGCCATAGAAGTAGTCAGCGCCCTATCAACTACCGTGCTCCCAAGTAGATAATACAAGTTACTCTGCCTGACTCCCGTCATCACAATCATAGACCCCGATGTGACCTTCAAGCGAGAATCCGCCAAAGTCACCCTATAGCCTGCTGCCTCCAATACCCCAAATGAAATGATGTTCTTCCTCAGTTGAGGAACGAACCTCACATCAGCCAACTCCCGGATCATCCCGTCACTCATCCGAATCTGAACGGTACCAATACCACCAATAGGGCATCTGTGATCATTACCCATAAGAACAACATCCCCTCTTTCCAACTCCTGAAAGCTGGAGAACCAATCCCTTCTAGGGCATATATGGTAAGTAGCACCAGAATCCAACATCCACTCGGTGGAGTCGGCAACATCAACTGACGGAAGAGCTGGGCACGAATAGCCTGAAGAATCTGAATCTGAAACATCACCACTAGCCTTGGCAACATTTACCTCTGAAGCTTGAATAGCTTTCCCTTTATTCTTCACGGCTTGCAATTTTGGGCATTCGGCTTTCCAATGTCCATCCTCTCTACAAAAGGCACACTGATTTCTACCAACTGCAGGATGCCCCCCTCTAGACTGCGACCTTCTTCCACGGTTTGGACCTTTAGCTCTTGCAACCAATGCCCCCGCAATCGGCTCAATGGAAGTCTCCTTGTCCTTCTTTCGAAGTTGATAGTTCACAAGGGTTGTGGTGACCTTACTATACGAAAGAGATGCCTTCCCATTAATAAGAGTGGGGACGAATGTCTCATATTCCTCGTCGGGTAAGGAACTCAATAACAACAATGTTTTATCCTCATCTTCAACAATAACATCTACGTTCGCCAAATCTGCAAGTAGCTTCGTGTAGTGGTTCATGTGATCACTAATGGATGTCTCATTCTTCAATTGGAAGCGATAAAGCCTCCTCTTCAGATGCAAACGATTTTCGACGCTTGCCCTCTAGGACCTCCCAGATCTTCTTTGCCGAAGTTTCATTCATCACATCATATTTAAGGTCTTGGGTAAGGCAAGACCTAATCACACCACACGCCGTTCTATTCATTTTATTCCAATCCTTATCATCCATGTTGTCCGGTTTTCCGTCCAACTCCAACGTATCTTCCAAATTTTGCGCATTTAGCGCATCCATGACTTCGCATCTCCAAAGTCCAAAATTATTTGTGCCGTTGAACTTTTCCACATCTATTTTCATAGAATGTATATTCAGACTTTGGACGGTCCTCACACTAGAAGAACCCTCCCCATGTTTATCCTTTTCGGCCATAATCTCAAAGCACCCAAACAATTGCGGAACAAACAAGAAAATAGATCTAACTTGAAAAAGATAGAAACTTTACCACAAAGATCCCACATTTATCACCAATCGAAGCTCTAGATGAACTTCCCAACTGATCTATACCTCCAAAAAGCCCAAGCGTTGCCCGAAGCTCTGATACCACTTGTTGTGCCTCGAGAATCCAAACCAATCGCCAAGAAAAAGATAAACCAACACACCAACAAGCACAAACAATCACTAACACCAGTTTTACGTGGTTCGACAAGATGCCTACGTCCACGAGGCAAGGAGAGAGGAGTTTTCACTATTAGAAACAAGAGGATACAACTAGGGTTACAAATCTCTCACCAAAAACCCACAATAACTCACTCTTGATCTCACCAATTGCTCCAACAATAGAAGCCCAATAAAACTCTCCCTTCAGATCTCAAACTTCAGCCTCCAAACCCTAGAAACACCCCTTTGGGTATTTATAGGAAACCCAAACGAAACGGGTGTGGAAAACAGACCCAGACTCAACCCGCTTTGGCGGTCGACCGGACCGGTCGACCGCGATGGATCGCGGTCAACCGGCCGGTCGACCGCTCCTCCATCCAAGAACAGCTGCCAAGATCCAAGAGTCTCGGCGATCAACCACGCTCGGTCCGGCCTACCATCTTCGTCGGACCGCGTCGGTCGACCGATACCAATCCTGATGCCCACAGAAACTCCTGTGCACGAACTGCCGGTCGACCGGGCCGGGTCACCGCCACCCTGACAACCTGAATTCCTGCCTGAACCTGATCTCTGCCAATTCTACAAACTGCCACAGGCATTCCTTCGCACATTTATTTTCGTTGTGTTTTGATTCTGCAATTAATTAATTGAATTAGATTAGATGTTATTTGATTACGTAGGGAAAGCAATAAATAGTAGTTAAGTAGCTTGATATACGGATCCAGAGATCTTGAATTCTTCGAGGGAAAACTATGCCCTGTTTTTAATAATGTGAGAGACTATGTAAGATGTCCCTCGCTTTGAGTTAAAAGATACTAAATTTAGGATTTTTTTTTCCAAGGAGATTATTTATCGCCCAAAAAGAAAACCCGTTTAAAGGTCAGGATTGAACTAAAAAAAAGGGTTCAAATATTGCCCTACTTTTGCCAAATTAAGAACAAGTTTTCGGTCCTGTCTCCATTAAAACAGGTTTTGTGAAGTTGCTGTTCAAATCATAATTGACTAGGGAGCTTTACTGAGAACGAACCAGGTCTAGCTTGGGATGAACCCAACCTGAACTGAACACTGGTTTCCGGTGTCCGTGTGAGCTCAACTCAAACTCGTTCAAATCCAACAGCTTAATTACATGATAGAGTTATCCCGACCCGCGATCCAACTTTAGTGCTAAATAACAGGAGCTTTGTGAAACTCTTGCAGATCTTTAAGATTTGAAAGCTTTGTAAATTATCATCAGGGAGAATTGGTGAGAGATTTGAAAGCTTTGTGAGATCATTTGATTAGGGTTATTTGATGAGATTATTGAGTGATTGTAATCTATATTTGTATTCTCTTTCTCTCTATTAGTAAAATCCCCCCCCCCCCCCCCCCTCGTAGGCACATTGCCGAACCACGTAAATTTGCTAGCTTGCTGTATGGAACTTGAGTTTTGGTTGTTTTGATTACTTTCTTCTCGTTTGTTGGTTTGTGATTCGTCAGCTGCGCACAACAAGTTGTATCCGAGCCTCAGACTACGCTTGGGGTTAGGTGGAGGAGTAGATTGCTTTGGAAGCTCTTCTAGGATTTCAGTTGGAGACAAAGGTGGGATTTTGATCATTGTGGATCTTGCCTTCCATGTGTGGTGGTGAGATCATTTGATGACTCTTGTTAGGGTTTTAGTTGGAGATAAAAATCTACATTTTCTCAGTTTGGATCTATTTTTCTAAGTTTGTTCCGCATTGGTTTGTTGGTGATTTGAGGAAGATGATTGAGAAAAAAGGTGCATCATGTGTTGAGAGTGGTACTTCCGGCGTGAAGACCATTCAAAGGTTGAATATCCACTCTATGAAGATAGATGTGGAGAAATTTAATGGCACGAACAACTTTGGTTTGTGGAGATGTGACGTTTTGGATGCGCTGAATGCGCGGAATTTGGAGGATACTTTGGAGTTGGATGGCAAGCCGGATGATATTAAAGATAAGGTTTGGAAAAAAATGAATCAGACGGCGTGTGGCGTCATTAGGTCTTGTTTAACGCAGGATCTAAAATATGATGTGATCAATGAGACTTCTACAAAGAAGATTTGGGAGATTCTCGAAGGTAAGTATTTGACGAAGAGTGTTGAGAATCGCTTGCATTTGAAGAGGATACTTTACCGTTTCCAATTGAAGAAGGAAATCTCAATTGGTGATCACATGAATAACTACATAAAGGTTCTTGCGGATTTGGCAAATGTGGATGTCATGATCGAGGATGAGGACAAGACATTATTATTGTTGAGTTCATTGCCTGATGAGAAATATGAGACCTTCGTTCTTACCTTAATTAATGGGAAGACATCCATTTCATATAGTGAGGTTATCACTGCTCTTGTGAACTACCAGCTAAGGAAGAAAGACAATGAGTCTTCAAATGACACAATAGCAGAGGCATTGACCGTAAGAGGGAAAAATCCAAACCGAAAGAGTAAAGATAATGGGAAGTCGTAGTCTAGAGTAGGGCATCCTACAGTTGGTAAAGATTAGTACGCTTGGTGTAAAAAGACTGGTCATTGGAAGAAAATTTATCTAAAGCTCAGCGAATGGATAAAGAATAAGAACAAGCACAAGGGAAAAGAAAAACTACCAGAAGCAAACATCGTCAAATCGGATGGTAATAGTTCTGACTCATTTGTTTTTTTGTTTTCTATCAGTCCCATATGTTACTATTCGGGAGTATCCGAGTGGATGTTGGATAGTGGTGCAACCTATCATATGTGCCCTAAAAGGAAATGGTTTTTCAGTTTTGAGAAGCTGGATAGTGGTGTGGTATATATGGGTGATAACCGTGCATGTCAAATCCTTGTGATAGGTAAAATTTGCATCAAGATGTATAATAGGATGGTTAGAGAGATACATGGTGTGATATATGTTCCTTCTTTGAGAAAGAATCTGATCTCAATTGGAGCTTCAGTTGCAGAAGGTTTGTGTAGGACATGGATCTCAAGATTGTGAAAGACTCTTTGATTGTGATGAAGGACGTCAGGAAGAATAACTTGTACTACTTGATTGGAAGTACGATGACATGTGGAGTGCTGACGATTTCTATTGATTTGAGACATTTGAGGCTGGGACATTCCAGTATTAATTCCTTGTAAGCTTTGGCAATGCAAGGATTGGTGAAAGGTGTATCAACCTACAATTTGAAGTCCTGTGAATATTGTGATGTGAGCAAGAAGACCAAGGTAAAGTTTGGCACCTCTATTCATCGAGCTAAGGGCCTTCTATATGCGGTTCACATGGACGTTTGGGGGCCTTCCAAGGAGGCATCATTAAGAGGTAATAGATATTTGGTTTCCTTTGTTGATGATTGCTCTAGACAAGTATGGGTTACAACCAAGTCCCGTTTGAGTGAAGTCCTAGTAGTCTTCAACAAGTGGAAAAAGTGTATAGAGATTAAGACAGACAGAAAGATCAAAGTACTTTGTTCTGATTTTGGTGGGAAGTACAAGAGGGATCCGTTTCAGCATTTGTACCGAGCTCAAGGCATTTTGAGACACTTCGATGGAATGGGAACATTGGGGCAACTAGATGAGATGGCAAAGTTGATGAACTGTGCCTTGCTGGAGAACGTTCAGTGTTTGTTGTCAAGCAGTGATTTGCATAAGAGTTTTTGGGCTAAGGCTTTGACATATTTGTGTCATCTTATTAATAGGTTGTTGTCTACTGCAGTTAGAGCTAAAACTCCATGGGAAGTTTGGTCTGGTAGAGCTGCTTCAGATTATGGGTTGCTTCGGATATTTGGGTGCACAGCCTATTATCACGTCAAGCATGTAAAAATTGATCTGAGTGCAATGAAGTTTATAGTTCTGAGCAGTAATGTCACTTTTGATGAGGCTTCGATGATGGAGCCTATTGACTCTCAGCAGGTGGTTAGTGTTGGACAGATCATAGATGTATCGTAGTGGGTGGAGAGTGATGCTACTTCACGTTGGGTGGAGATTACTTCACGTTCTCCAGATCATTCTGTATCGTTTGAGATTCCATCTGAGGTGACACAGATTGAGGATCATATAATTGATGTTGATACAAATGATGAGTTTGAGGATTAGGAACCGGAGGGTCAGTTCAGGATCAGGATTCGAATGCAGCAGGTGGACACAGTTCAGATTTGGCTATGGTCATTGGCTCACCTCATGTGGAGGTGTTTGGTAATAGTATTTCTTCTATATATATATATAGGCTTGAGGGGTTAAGCTCCAAGACTGAGTTGGTGTGGAGAGATGCAAGTTTGAAAGAAACTTTATCTTTTCATTTTGAGACCATCAGGGGTGCTATCAACTGTAGATTTGTTAGTATTGGCGAAGTTTACATCAGTTGCTTGATTGACCCGTTTGTGTGTTGTAAGCTAATAGGTAGCTTGATTAGTGCAATGGTGTATACAAGGCCAAGATTTGTCACGGATCGTTTACATTATGAGCACTTGGGTGCATGGTCTTGGAAGAAGACACTTGGTGACGGTCATGAAGTTGGTGAAAGATTAAGAATCCTTCAAGTTGATTGAGGTTGTTTATAGCCATTTGGATGAACTACGTGAGGCTTGATTCCTTGGGTAAGAGGATACGTAGGCAGTCCGTTTGATGCAGCCAATTTGATGAGTTGATATCCACACGGGGGGAGATTATTTGAGTTCTCATTTGGATTCCCGACTTGTTGTAGATTGAGTCCGTTGTCGTGGATTGATTCCACTTCGTACTGAACGCAGCAAATGGGATGGATGGTTGGTTTTTGAGGTCGGCTCAGTTTTGAGAAAACTTCACCGAGGTGGAGATTTATAGAAACGACGAAAATGACGAAAGAGAACAGGAAAAATGAAGCAAGAACAATTTTTGGTGCAGGCCGGTCGACCGCGGGCTTAGGTCCGGTTGACCAAAAACGTGCACATTACAGGCTGAGAAATCAGCGCTCTGGCCGGTCGACCGGATGCACATGCCCGGTCGACCGAACCCTGTTATGTTTACAGGGTAGTTTTTGATCCTCTGGACGGTCAACCGCGACGACATGCCTGGTCGACCGTGTTGCGATTTGGGCCCTGTTTCAGTTTCCTGATTGGTTTGAGTTTCTGTTTTGATATAAATAGGAACACGTTTTCTTAGGATTTTAAAGGGGTGAATTTTTTGAGCAGACATTGAGAGGGTTTTTTGAGCACTTTTGAGGGAGAATTGGTGAGAGATTTGAGAGCTTTGTGAGATCCTTTGATTAGAGTTATTTGGTGAGATTATTGAGTGATTATAATCTCTATTTGTATTCTCTTTCTCTCTATTAGTAAAATCTCTCCCCTCCTTGCCCCGTGGACGTAAGCACATTGCCGAACCACGTAAATTTGTTGGCTTGCTATTTGGTACTTGAGTTTTGGTTATTTTGATTATTTTCTTCTCGTTCGTTGGTTTGTGATTCGTCCGCTGCGCACAACAGAAACTTCATTTCCTAATTCTATGTATCTGCTTACTCACAAAGACACATTGCAAGTTTATTTGTAGATGTTCTGATTCTCAACTCTACGTGCAGATGCATATATGACTTAGACTCTCATCTAGATCGATTCATAAAGTCTGCATCAAAAGCAAAGATACCATCTCCCTTCTCTCACAGAAGTCTCAAGAAAATCATTCTTCAGCTTGCAGCATCATCTAAACTAAGAGAAGGATCCATAAGATACTGGCTGAGCGCAGGACAAGGATCTTTCACCGTCTCATTCCCAACCCCTCCCCAATCTGCATTCTATGCGATAATCATCGATAAAAAATACAACCGGAAATTAAAAGGAGCCAAAGTTGTAACATCCAGCATTCCAATGAAACCTCCCATGTTTGCTACAATGAAGAGCGTGAATTATCTCCCCAACGTTCTCTCGCAGCTCGAAGCGGAAGAGAAGGGTGCTTATGCTTCTGTTTGGGTTGATGAAGATGGGTTCATTGCAGAGGGAACTTGTGCAAATATTGCAATTGTGAGCAAGTGTAAAGAGCTTTTGCTTCCGTTGTCGGAGAAAATATTTGGCGGGTGCACGTCCAAGAGGCTTTCTGTGCTTGCACTGAAGTTGGTAGAGAAGGGAGTTTTGAAGAGTGTGAATGTGAGGAGAGTGGCTGAGGCTGAGGCAAGGGACTCGGCAGAGATGATGCTTGTCAGCAGCTTGACTCATGTAATGCCTGTCGTGGAGTGGGATGATCAGCCCATTGGAGATGGTAACTGTCTAAACTTAAACAAATTTTGCCGAATGAAATTAATGATAGATGGGTTGAATTGCAGGTATTTTCCTTGTTTATGAATTCAGCTGCACTAATTAAGCAACCCTCATTATTAGCGGTATCAGTGATGAAGTTGGCATTTTCAAAAGATAAAATGCAGATAATATCTCTTTTACACAAACTGATTGGTGACAAAATGCTGATCTACAAGCTGAGAGTTGATAAATTGATAAATATACAGCAGGAGGTATAAATGAGGGCGGAATGTAATTTGCCCATCTTCATAGGCAACGCAACAAAAAGAAATAGTCAATGCAACAACGTAAAGGTTTTTACCATTAGCCTAGGTCATACAATTATACCTTCCATTGTTCACAAATAACGATAGAGTGACATCAAATATTCTGGAGTAGTTCATTCGATGAAATATACAAGGATGTCATGGGCATACATTCGCGAAGAATCAATTGACAATTACACATTTAACAATGGCAGAAACAAGTTGCATCAATTATTTTATTTTCGCTATCCAAACTTTTCTCATATTCTTTCTAAATTACTGATTTCTTTATACATCATCAATTTTCCTTCCAAGTTTTTGAACATGACTAAAAGAATTATATCGATCACGGCTTACAAAACTAGAGCATATAAATAGCGAGAACTATGTATATGTATATATATAGTTTGTGATCAATAATGTTAATTGCATTGTTCATGTCAATTAGGACTTGTTTGGTGAAGTTCAATAAGATATACTCGATCCTGATAACGTCTGGTTTTTGGCTTTATGGCAGGAAGAGTGGGAGAACTGACAGTCGCCATCGCTAATCTATTTTGGGAGGATGTTACGGAAGGGCCTGAAATGCTCCGGACACCTGTTCCTTACAAAGAGTTGCAGATATTATAAACATAAATAGGCCACTAAATGCCTTACAAATTTTTATTCACATTTTTTACTTATATTTTATTTTTTTGACACGAATAAACGATGCAAGAGCAAGGTATATTGTATGGATTGAGAGTCCGGGACATCCTAAAGACAAGTTCTTCGGATTTGTGAAGCATCTATGGATTAAATTTGTCAAAAATAAACTATTATACTTATATATATATATATATATATATCATACTTCCTTTAAAAGTACGAGTTCGGGAAAATCTTTCTATGGTCAATATTATCTTTATCTTTTTTGAATATTACATTGTTATCCTAATATATTCTAATTATCCTATCTTCTTTGAATTGGTAACCAAATGATTTATTCTACTCATAATGAGACTTAACATGTTATTGGATAAAATAGATACCTTTCATATAATTCAATACACACTATGAACTTTTTATAAATTACAAAATAAAACCCTCGAAATTGTAAAATTTATAAAAATTCTGATAATTTCGGACCTAACAGTACATTAAAAATATAAGAATTATAAATATCCCTTACACAATTTATAATTTATAGAAAACACCCTTAAAGTTTCAAAAATTATAAAAAATGTTTATATTTCTAAATTTATAAAAAAAAACACCCTGAAAATATCAAAGTTATTAGTAATTGAAAGCATAGGAATTATAATTAGTCTATAAACAATTTATAATCTCTAAAAAAGACCTATAAGTTTAAAAAATTATAAAAATTCCATAAATTCATAATTTATAAAAAAAACACCATGAGAATTTTGAACCTATAGACACTAAAATTAATATATAAAATTACTAACAACCCCTAGAAAATTAAAATTTTGCAAAAAATATCATACACATTTTAAAAGAATAGGTCTAGAAAAACATTTTCATGATAAATATTACTCATAACTTTTTTGAAAAGAACATAACTAATTGAAAGTCTATTAAATTTGAAATTTATAAAAAAAACACCCTAAAAGTTTATTACATTGCAAATTATCCCTCCAAAGTTTGGAATTTTTTAATGATTTTTTTGTAATTCATTGATATCAATGTAATTTTTAAAAGTTTTGTGTATTTGTAAATTATAAATTTTAGGGGTTTTTTTACACTTTAAAACTTTTGAGGGTGTTTATTTTGTAGTTTTCTAAATTTTTATTGTGTTTTCAGTGTAATGCGCATATACATCAATTAATGATAATATTGAAGAATAAGTTGTTCTTAAGATTATTAGACCATAGTTAAGTGTGCACATCACTATTCCTAGAAAGTATAGTTTATATATGCAAAAATTTTCAGACAATCTATATAGTGGTTAAAAAGATTTTTAACATTAATATACTATTTTTTATAAAATTATATTTAATGTGAACCCACCATATAATTTTGACTGTGGTCATCATAATTTTAATACGTTTGATTGGTTGACTGTATATGTATATAGACCATAAATTATTTTACTTTCTCACATAATCTAATATTTGGTGCTTAATAATTTAAATTATTAATTTTAAATTTAATATAAAGATGAGCTCTAATAACGGTTATTTATTTACCGCAACATAATACAATCTTAATTACTATTTTTTTGGAGATTTATTCCATAGTTACGTGTATCAAATTAGTAGCTAAAATAATAATTATTTATTCTTAAATTAGGATGATTGTAGTTGGTCACTCACTATAAAATTTTATGAAGATTTATATCTTACTTTCTATAGCTATCTACACTGCCCATGTATATTTTATAAATTAGTTCTTAATTTGACATATTAAATTACTTTTTCTTCAAAAAAAAATTTCTTTGAATTTTAGACTGTGAAATCACTATATCACCATTCTAGCATAGAAAGGATATTACTTTAAATGGCTTCAAGCTAATGTTTGAGTTGCACTGAAGTATATACTATTGCTACTATGTGTATATATTTTTTAAGAAAATCATGTCAACACTTTTTAAATAGAAAAGAATATTCTAACATCTGATATTATAAAAACTAAATATAGCCAATTGAATGGTTAGCAAAAGAGAACTTACATCAGAAAAGTGTGAATAATAAGATAAAGAGGAAAGGTAATAGCATTGCCAAAAGTACTATAAATAGCAAACTACAATGTAAAGTTAACCTATTTTGTGGAGCACAATTATTGGCTATAAGCATTGCGATTTTCATATATATACTTTATAATTTATTAAAAAGGATCGTATAATCTTACATAATAAAATTGATTTACTATTGAATAGCAATATCGTTGTAATAATATCATTATAAGAAAAAATTCTTCATAAATCAATATGTTCTTTACGATACATAAGCTATGCACTCCAAATTCTTGTGTATTTTATAGAACCAAAAAGTTTGAATACGAGCCTCTAACATGTTGCTCTTACAACAGCAAAATCCACTTAGGAGATATGGATATTCCAGATAAGTTATGTATCCTAATACAATTGCTCTAGACAAGTGAGTTATAATAGCATTTTTTATTTATATCGTTTGGGGTAAGATTTGATAGGGACCTTGCATCAAAGAGAAAAAAATTATATTTAGAGCACATGGTAAAATATATCATAATCTTCTTGTTCAATTCCGCAAAAAAAATATTTTTTTCATACTTTCAGTTTTACTTCTATGATATAGAGAATGAGCTATAAAATTGAATGAGAATATTAGATAATATAAATATGAGTGAAACATCAATTAAAAGTTAACGTGAATATGAGTCAAACCACAACTAAAAGTTTAATGAACATATTACAAGTAAATTTATATACAAAATTTCTTTGCGAATTGAATGATCACCCATCTTTTGAAGACTTTAAGATACTAATAAATAGAGATATTATACTAGATTAATGTGTTTATAACTCACAAATAGTAGATCATGTGGCCACAGACTGGGTTGAAGAAAATAATGATAATATTTTATTTGAGAGAGATTATCGAGTTGATGATCAATCCCACAAAAAACTTTGTTTTTTTATATTTACTCTATTTTTATCAATTTAAATAATCATAATATTCAACCACGTGCATTGCACATACATCTCAACTAGTTTGTGTGTGTGTATATACATATATATATATATACAAATGGAAGAATCCAATCTTTACTGTTCATGCTACAGTAAATATTAATACAAGATTATTACTGTACCACACGGGATACTGTGGCATTTTAAAAGAAAAATTGTTGTAACAGAGGCGGGAACTGTAGCGTTCTATGAAAATACTATAGCATTAATATTGTAGCATGGGTATACTGTAATAATTTAAAAAACGTGAGATACTGTAACAATTCAAAAAATCTTGCTGCAACATTTAAAAACATGATTACTGTAGCGTGAAAAAAATTATCGCCGTGCTTTGCACGGACAGCACCCTAGTATATATATATATAGATAGAAAAACGCTGAGAAACTCTTTTTCTTGGTTTGACAGAAAGGTGCTCCACTTAATATGTTGGGAGTGTGGAAACTTTTAATCATTTTCTTTCATTTGAGTAAATCCGAAACACTATCTTGGAAAATTATATGTTGCTGAAAAAGCAAACAGAGAAATATTGAGATCAAGCGGAGATAAGAAAATCACATATGCAAACGCAAAGAGTCCGTTGTGTTTCAAAACTGAAAACTCAAAAGAGACGCAAAAAACTTCATTTACTTTGAATATTGCATGTGATTTTGGATTAGTTAGCGTACTGATTTATTTATTTATTTACTTTTTATTTTTTATTTTGGCTTGCGTTGATTCAAAACCCAATTGCTCCTGGACCGCCAAATATTTGGTAAAATTCATTGGATAGTTTCTCGAGCGTTAATGGGTTTTATTGAGCATAGTTTTCTATATTCCCTCCACTCTACAAAAATAGTAAGTAAATAAAACGAGGAGATCCCTTTTCTTTATCTCAAAATCCATCCTCTCTAAAATACTTTCGTGAATCAACGTGCAAACCCCATTGCGGGGGTTAGGGAAAAGATGGAGAAAGAAAAGAGGGGTAAGGGCATCTCCAACAGCTTCTCCAATGTTTTCTCCAAAATGGGGAAGCAAAAGTCATATTCTTCAAATTATTTTTACATCAACTCCAACAGCTTCCCTATTTTGAAGAATCACTTTTTTCCTCCAAAAATTTAGAGAATGCTGCAGATTTGGGGAAGTTTCCCCATTTTTTCTCCTTCATCCCTATTTTGGAGAATGAGATGGAGAATCTGTTGGACCAAAAACTTAACTAAATTCTTCAAAAGTGGGAAATTGGGAAGCTGTGTTAGAGATGAAAGAGGATGTGTATGCCAAAAAATAAATAAATAAATAAATAAAAATAAGAGAGGGGCATTTCGGTCATTTTATCTTGCCATGAGGAGTAAATTTAAAGGTGTTAGAATTTGAGGATTTTTCTAATGAAACTTATTGGGGTTTAAGTGAGACTTTAAACGTTTTGAGGGTTACGTGTCAAAAGTCCAAACTTATTGGGAGTTTAATGAATTTAGGCTTTATTTTATCTTTTTAAAGGGAGAGAGAATATTGACAAATGTGCTCATTAAAACTCATTGCTATCTGAAAGACTATCTTATCTATCAAATAAATGGTAGTCGAATTGTCATTTATGTTGGGAATTTAACGCTGAAACCCTAATTGCAACAGAAACGCAGAATAGAAAAAGTACACCAAGTTTTAACGAGGTTCGGCAACTGCCTACGTCCTCGGGAGCCACACAGATAATTTCTTATTAATCAAACAAGAAATTACAATTTAGGAGCAGATCTCAAAACTGAGATTTCTCAAATAAACACTGTAGCTACAGTGTTAATAATTAAAGGGTATGAACCCTTTCAATTCTCACTTGAGAATAAAGAATAACCCCACAATAAAAACACCCTCTTTAATTCTCTATTTCTCTCTCTTCTTTAATCCCCCTCAAACACTGTTGAAGCTGGGGATAAATCAAAAAATCGCAGCAGCGATTTAGGGCAGCCGCCAGAGAGAAAAGTCGGAGGAGGGGAAGAAATCAGCAGCGAAACCCTAGGGCCAAAGGGGGGGTTTTATAGGAAGAGATGATGAGCTGGCGACAGCCTGTCGCCAGCGGCCCACGAACGCAAAGGTGGGAGCGCTCGAACGCAAAGGTCGAAGGGTGCGTTCGCCGA